TTTATTTGTCACCAAGGAACCATTTCCATATGGTGCAGTAATTATTTACATTCACAGAAACATCTCTATTTTAGGCCGTAACCTCGCTTTTAATGGCCATTTACCAAGATAATGAAATATCTGGACACAGTCGCCTAGAGGAAATTATTTGTACTTTATTTTTGCTAAAACAAAAGAGAAATTATCAAATTTATGACATCATCAACATGAAATCAATGCAACATATGTAGTCAGTAATAACAGATTGTTTTTAAACATGTACCCATTGGAAACATTGAGTGCATCCAAAACGTCATCTTTACACGAGTAGTTGTGTAATTTGCATTAATTTATGCTAAAAACAATTCACCCCTGAAGGCAGCCGAATTATGAGGGCCTCTGCTGAAATGTTTTATTGACATGAACATATTCAACAGAATTCACTCTTTGAAACTTTCACTTCAATTATTTCTGAGCAGTATTTCGTGACACATCAGAATGATTAAAATGCTTTTAGTTAAGGGGCTTCTGCAGTAAGCAATTAATTTATATTCAACCATTTATGTTACCAGATTTGAGGTTGTTTAATTATGGGATATGTGACAGGATACACAGAAAAAAATAGATGCAGAAAATGTCGCGCAAATTTCTATACAAATAAAGACTCCTAAAAATAAGTTGCATTGTTCATCTGGCAGTGCCAAAAGGATGCTGGGTTCAAAAAGGTTATCAGCGGGTCGCTGGTCATGATCAATATTTTCCTTGAGGTTAGAGGTAGGATCAGAGCCCAGAGTACTCGATGAGTAATTGTCTCCTACATTGTGGTGATAGCTCATCGGTTATTGATTGATTTGATTAGTCGTTTAAAATGAGTAATATTAAGCTACACTGTAATGGAGTCCTGGTGCTCTCTTTGTTTCTGCCTTGATGGCATTTTCATGATTCTGTCCCAGGAAAGAGTGACGCTCAGAGCAAAACAGAGTAGAACAATCGATCACACGTGAAAAGATTTGTAACTCTGACGTAAAACCTTCCATGCGAAAAGCTGCGCACATGGACATGTGCTGCCATGAGATCACGGATCTCTGCAGGGATAAAAGAAAGAAAACTATCTCACTGGGGGAAAAAAAAAAAATCCCCAATTTGTAACCAAAGTTTAATCCTTCCCGTGTCCTGCCGGGACTCAGTTAGGAACCCAAGCAGTAAGCCCTGTCTGCTTTCTCATGATAAATTCCTACCAGCTGTCTCATGTGGAGATTATAAAATGATAGGCCAAGGTGTGTAAAGGCATCCAAGCAATAAAACACGGAAACTGAGATAGACAGAAATCAACCACAAGCACAATATGGGTTTTTAGATCAGTTTCATTCTTGTTGATCTATGACTCAGTCGTGCTGGTTTTGCTTGTTTTTTTTATTTGGAAACTCTTGGTAAATTTGCACTTTTATGTATCTACAGTTTGTGCATACATGTAATCGATTTTGGATCTTTTGTATACCTCCTTTTTTTCTGGAATAAGACTAAATGGTATCGGTGGACTGATGAATGACATAACTTTAATGTATTACATCATATTTCCACAGGAAATCCGTGCAACCTTTAAATTTGGTCAAGTCCCTTAAAATGTAAATATAAAGAAAGGAATTAACATGCTTTTCCAAAGCCTATTTATGACTTTGAGCATTGATAGTGGTTTTCCAACTATCCACGTTGTCATTTGCACAAATAATAGGCATTTAACCCGAGATGCAAGGTTTTTTAACTGAGCAGTGATTTGATGATTTATCTCTTTTTTAACCAGAGTTCATGGGGCCTATGTCATTCATGCTGTGTCATCCCATAACACATTGAACATTAGTTATTTAAGTTTCACACACAAGGTAATTTCCAAAGAGTTCTAATTTTAAAAAAAAGTAAGTGAAAGATTAAAGAGTCCTATAAAACTATCTATACCAGATTGACAGACTCTGAATATAATGTCTATAACAAAACAAAGATTAACAAAGATCTGAACCAGAAACCTTTTTTAAGTCTTTGTTAAAAAGTGGATTCATCTCGCATAAATGCAATCTTGTTAGATGTATTAGGCATAAAAGAAAGAAGTAGCTTTCATGCAATTAAAATAGTAAACTTGCTTCTAATCTTTCGGTCCTTTCGTTAACAAGTTGAACTTTTCCAAAAGTATTTCCATGGATACCGGCGCCACTTTCTCAATACGGCAACGGCTGCCAGAGAGACTGCCTGCAGCTACTGAATTCATGTGTCACAGTGCAGAGGATAAAAATATCTCTCCTTAATTGTCATTCCTTGTGCCAAAATGTTTAATTATACTGCCTCTGTTTTAGGGGTAGCCAGCACGCTTGACAAAATGCAGGGTTAGGAAACTGTAATTAATCATCACAAACCGTGGACATGCTCTAAAACGAGACACTGGTGTACGTAACATGAACTGGGAATGAGCGCACGCCTCACCACTGATCTCGAGTTAGACACAAACTAAGCAGCACTTTTAGATACACATCTATGTGACTGTTGATGAACAGAGTTGATTCCACAAGCAGATGGTGGCCAGGCTTTTTTTAAGTGTGTTTGAGTGTCTGTGTGCACAGCAGAAAGCAGAGGGATTAACATGAAGCTTCTTTTACTTAGTTTGTGTACACCCTTAAACAGTATGTTTGCACGCACTGCACTGCCTCAGCAGACAGAAAAAAACCTGCTTCGTCTTAAAAGAAGAGGTTGATTTGAATCTTGTTTGCACGAGTGATCGGCCAAGCTTCCTGCATAACAATTTAATAGCATGTCATCTCTTGTTTCTTTGAACCTGTATCTCAGTAATATAATTGTGTGACTCCTCATCAACCCCTCCTTTTATCAAACCTAAGATAACCGGTTCAATATTTATCCTAACGATTGCACAATATTGTGCATGATACTCCAAATGATCTCATGATTGTCGCCAAGGCATTGCCTTATTTGATACGTTGATAAATACATTTCCTGCCAATCATAAAATGAGGAAACTATCTTAGAATTAAAGTCCTGTATAATTTATTATCCTTTAATCTGTTTCCTCTGAAGGGGTTTAAGGGATTAATTTACATCGGTGTGAGATTCACATTAAAATAATCTCAGTCTTTAAAAGCCAACAGATGTTTCTCTAAACTTTTTGGCTCCAGACTGAATATGAAAGATGGTGGGTAATGGGCCTCTCGACTGGCTGCAAAAGAGCTCCTTCTGTGTAAAATGTCTATTAGACTGTTTAACTGTTCATCCAGTGTATTTTCTTTTCTACTTGTCATGTATTGTACCTTAACCAAGAGTTCCTTATATTATCATTTATTGTGTTTGACAATGTTTTGGCATTGGTTTCCAATGCTGCTTAAAAGCTAAAAGAGAACGGGAAAGCCTTGCTGTGTTGTGATGGGCATGGGAGACACCTGACCCCTTTTTTCCCCTTGTTTTTATTTCTTTACATTGACTCTCCTAGATCTAAACTGTGAGTTGAAGTCATGCACTAGAAGTTCTTTTAACATTCCCATGTTGCACACACAAAAACCTCAATTACACACAAGAAGTCAATTACTTCTACAGCTCTGTCTTGTATTTGGGGGGCATTCTTTTTTTAAGGATCTAATTATGCCTACCATTATTACAATCATGTACACCATTATTTATTATTATTCACAATTTGCCTCAGAAAGTCAGAAAAAACAACTGGAACACAGTAGACCCCAACCAAAATTAAAACAGCACCAGTCACATACTTTGATTAAAATATATTTTCATCAAAAATTGTTGTCTGCCCCAAATTATATCTTCTTTTAGGGAAAGTTTTGAGAGTGATATAGATATACTTACATTGCTTCTCTGCTGGGGACAGCATTTTACAGGATACTATTATGGTTTGTATTTAAGGATATAAACCTAAAACATTATATTATCGAGTTAAGTGCATTTATTGGGGAAATAAAGGTAACCTTTTATCTACCTGGATAATGTATATTGTTGTTCCTTCCACTTTTGGATGTAACTACTGCTTCTGACTCTTTTATTATAAGTAACTCTTTCACGTATGTAAAATAAAGTCTCAAACATATCAGTTTATGTTTATGTACATTCTATATCTACATTGAGGTTGATTGATATAATTACCTGGTGAGGCTTTCTGTGCCTTTTTTATCTCTACTCTTTGAGACTCCCCAGTCTAAGTAATCATCTGTGGACCGACCCATCGCCCATAAGACATCTGTTGTGGGGAGTTACTGCTACGTTTCACTTTCCAAAGACGATGACATCTGATAGGGCACATTAGGCCAATGTAAGAACCAATGAAAGTCTGTTTTTTGACAAGACCCCATCCTCTGATGCCTCCATTGTGAAGTCAGATAATTTCTATCATGGCATCATCGCACAGGACTTTCCTATCAGGATCTCCTTGGGGATACGGCGCCGTTTGAAGTTTTCTGCAACTATATAATTAGATCGTGTCACAGAGGTAAAGAGTTGTTTTTTCAGATATTTTCATGTGCTTGTTAATAAATGAGGATTCCGTCTATGTAGTGGTAACTCTGTACACAGGTCAAAAGCTATTCGTGCAGTAGTGGTGTGTGTTTCCATTCACTTCAACAGGACATTTGAGTAAGTGTGCTCACAAATACCCACTGACACATATTACATTATGAGTTACACGGAGGTGTGGCTCACAGAGATCAGTTTCCGTCACAAGAACAAAGTAATTTTACAGTGATATTCTTGTCCTTATATGCAATTCAGATACATCAAACAGAAAAAGCAACCTATAATCCCCAGGAGCCACACTAATTGTAACTAATAAAATACAATTGTTTTTCATGATGGTTGTTTTCAGATAATGGTAATTCCTGCACCTGGTCCCCACATAAAGCCTCGTGGGAAATGACACAACATCAGTTCAATTGAAATGTGTCAATCAAAGGCTCTTTTAGTGCTGAAATGTATGAGAATCCTCTCCCAGATGCTGCAGATGACAGGGCAGGATCAGCATGGCGCCTCTTGGTGAAGACCACTACTGCCGACAGTTCCAGCCCAACACCTTTGACCCCTCCCGCTGCAGTGCGTGCCTGCGGCCAAATCACATGCACCTCAACAGCACCCCGATGGAATACGCAGAGGCAGAACAACCAGGCGACCTACATGACTGGGTTAGTGTTTTACACATGTCAAAATATGATGTGATGTTTTTATAAAATACCTTGAATAAATTGAAGCAAAAAAAGTTAGAGAAAGGTTCCGTTCTCTGACCCGACCGACAACATTTTTGGTTGGTTCCTGTATTCAAATTAATCCTTAAAACTCCAGAGGAGAACGTGAAGCCCAAAATTGGCTGGTTTTATAAGTTTTGAAGCTCACAATAAGTTCAAGGCACTCTTGTGACTCCACAAAGCCTATTCAAATTTGAATGATGATCCCTGCTGAAAGGATCAGACTATTTACTCACTAGATAACTGTGAATAAGAAAAAAATGCTCCATCACTTGTACAATGAGGCCAAACTGTAATGCAATCACCAAAGTGAAACTACTACGGAGGTGGGAGATGGATAGCACAACGGCGTGGCATTTGATTCTGTATCATTAATTAATGAGAGCTTGTTTCAGTCCTCTGGGAATTATATGCAATCTAATATACCCAGAAGATGTGAGAACACACACACCCTTAAGACGCTCTGAAGCTCATGGTGAAAAAACAGCCAAATATTAGTTGAGTTAGTTAAAATCATAACATTCTATTCAAATAAAGAAAGCTAAATTAACCATTATTCATTTGGAAGAACAAGAGCTAAAAGGAGCAACACATTTTTGTTTTTTTGTCTGTGTGTTAACAAAAAGGAAAAACTGAAAGGTATCAAGATTTTGACAAGAAAGGCTCTGAGTGGGCGGTTCTGTTAATGCAGAAGCACTAGAGCAATGAAATAATGATGAGCATGAACAGAGACTAGCTTGAGTTACGTCCTGTGCAGTTTAAATGTGCCGGCTGAGCTAGAGAGAATAGAGAAAAGAAAGGTAGAAGAAGGACAGCTGTACCACCTTTTTAGCAGATTTGGTCAAAATACAGCAACTAATCACAGTAAGTTTGTCTGTCTTAAAGTTAAAATTATGTGCCAGAGTTTGAAAATGCCTTTTTAGTAGCACAAGAATTTTTGTTTATGTTTGCATTTAAATTAAATGGTTGTGGTGCTGTTTGTTGTTGGATCATTATAGTTACATGACTATAACGACATGACTCATCAGTCATAATGTTATTGTTGTCTTGAGATTTTGGGACTGCAATGTTTTCTCATTTCAAAATGTTCTTATAAATCAAGATGACATTGAAAAAAATACCATTCTGATACTAAAACAGCATACTGTATATGTGGAGGTGGGAGCGATATGATGATCATATGTGTCTGTGCATATGTAGATAGATAGATAGATAGATAGATAGATAGATAGATAGATAGATAGATAGATAGATAGATAGATAGATAGATAGATAGATAGATAGATAGATAGATAGA